TTCCGCCTCCTAGAATTTATTTTATTCGTTGTGTTGCGGGACAAGTCTTACTTTTTGGTGACGTTTTCCCCGACCGTTCTGTTCCCGTTGTGCTCGCTCTCTTCCTAATCCCTGTAACACATTCCTTTGGACTCCTCTTTTGATACTGAGCGTGTGTTACCTGATATTATTTGATATCTTCTCACAGTAAACGACTTATCTGTTCCGCTAGGTTCTCTGCCTCTGGAGTTTAGGGACACTGAGTCCTAGAGATCTGTATATTTCCCCATCATGCCTCTCACCCAGCACCTTGCGTGGTTCACCATTATCAGAATGAACTGATTCAGTATGTCAGTGTTCTGCACGGTCAGCGCAGTTTAAGGTCCTTCTTGCAAGAGCTTACCATCTCCAATAATTACAGACAGGCATAGAGAAATCTTACCCTTGGGGGTGAAGAAACAACTAAATATGTTCTCTGGGGAGGCATAAGGTAGGAGATCGAGCCCCCAAGGAGGGGAGAGAGGAAGAAAGGGGTACCTGGTTTTAATTTCATTTTCTTTCTCACATCCTTGGTCTCTTTTCACAGAATCCTGCCATCAGCATCACTGAAAATGTGCTGCATTTCAAAGGTCAGTATCTGGGCAAATGCTCCTAGCTTTCTATACGGTTGAGGAGATGTGATGGTGATTTCCTTTTATTTTCATGTTTGTTTTATTTATTTTTATTGATGCTCACCTTGATTCTTCTGGGGTAAACTAGATTGATTTGAAATACATGATTAGAAAAATCAAAGAATTTGTTTCAAACCCTGCTTCCCCCTTGGAGAGAGAGTAAGATATAGTGGAAAAGAATCCTGAGCTTAAATCAGATAGTCTGGCTCTAGCTCCACGTCCTTGGACAAGGTAAGGACTTCTCTGGACCTGTATAATGAGGGTGTTGGGTTATATCTGTATTTCTCAAAATTGAGGACCCATGGCTACCAGAGAATATGTCTGCAGGCCCTTCAAGGGTCCATGGGGCCCAGATTGAAAAACATTTTGTTAAGAATTAAATGTGGTCACTTTATGTGAGCTTTGGCTGCATTGCAGCTGTGAATACAGATGTAGACACAGCCACTGACTTGGGTGGCAGTACTTGATTATAAGGTAGTCATCTAAATGATCCAGAATAGACTTGTTTTTTTTTTTTTTTTTTAATTTTAAAGATTGTAATGAAAACACAAAATAGAAATGTCCTTGATGAGACTTTGTGGCCACCTGATATTACACTTGCAGACCAGTTTGAGAAACATTGCACTCTGGGTGCCGCTGAGGCCTGTCTAGCTCTGACATTCTCTGATTCTTCGAATATGCTTCCACCTCCTTTCTCTTCAGTTTGTCAGCATTTACTGCTCTGCCAGAGAGGGTAGATCTGGATTCATTGTCACCCAACGTAGTGGGATCCTCCCTGTCTCTCTGTTCCAGTCCCTTGGAACACCATTATTAAGGTGCTGGGGTTATGGGAGATTGAAGTATTTCTGCATTACATTAGATTCATCTACTCTAATGTACTTGCATGAAGGCACAGCCTGGCTTTTGTATCTGTTTTTTCAAGATGGGGCTAGTGGTGGTGGCAATTCAAGTATTTTTGGGAGTAAATACATTGAAAGGGAAGTTAAAGTGGTAAAACGGTACTTTGCCACTTGAAGCTTATAGAATATCCTTTCTAAAGGAATTTATAGTCTAAGAGAATAGCCTCCTGCCGTGGTTAAGAGCTCAGCTGCTAACCAAAAGGTCACCAGTTTGAATCCACCAGCCTTTCCTTGGAACCCCTATGGGGCAGTGCTACTCTCTCCTGTAGGGTCGCTTTGAGTCGGAATCGACTCCACAGCAACAGGTTTAGTTTTGATTTGGTAGCAAATATTAGGCAGGTTCCACCACATACGACCAGATGAGGGAAGAGAACCCTAGAAGGGGATCAAATGACAGGCGAATCAGAGCGTTGGAGGGAAGCGATGTCCAGCAGCACTATAGGCCCAGCAGTCACTGGCCCCGACTGTGGTCCCTGCTTGTTGTGGGGAAAGGAGCCGTGTCAAGGCACAGCCTGGAGTAATGGCCAGCCTGGGCACTTTCCTCCCACTTCCATTTGTCCTCTTTTAGAAATGAGCCGAGAAAGAGTTCATTTCTTTTTGTTCCATTTGGAGTACGCTAAAGGAGAAGTCAGCGTCCCCCCTTCACTCTCTGGCCCTGGTCGGGAGATTTTTGATTCAGAGTTTTCTTTGAGACAGTCCAGCATTTCCATGTAGCCTGCAGCTTTCCTCCGCTAACTGCAGTCAAGACAGTACCCTCACCTGATTTACCTCTGCTCTGAATTCAAAGCCAAAGTAGATGTGAAAGTTAAACTTATATATCTGTGTTATACTTTGGAATTTGCTATCTATAGTCTTTCTCCTGTCTAGTGTTTGTACTGGGTATTGTCAAAGTCATATTGGAAGATTAAGTAAACATCCTGGAATGGGTCAGAAGGACATATCAGATAGACTTTTATCCAGGATTCAGCTTACCTGGCTGTTGAGGAGCTCTGCTTACAAACTCCCACTCATTTTGGCAGGCCTGTTAATATTTGCATACTTCTGAAAACCTGTACCAAGCTGACCTTTGGATGAGCCTACTCTGCTCAAGTCCACAGTAACCTACCCTTTTTTTTTGTTTAATAGCTCAGGGACACGGTGCCAAAGGAGACAATGTCTATGAATTTCACCTGGAGTTCTTAGACCCTGTGAAGCCAGAGGTATGTTCTTTGGTTTCTCACTTCCCTTTCCATTTTAGGAAATAAATACTAATAGTTTGGTGAAGTGGGGACCAGGGTTTGTAGAAAAGAAGAAGATAAAAACCGAGGAGGGACTATATAGTTCTTTCATTTGGAGCAAAGCCAAGGTTTTAGCTGCTGAGGAATGGGAGAAGTCAGGGGACCCGAGTGGAATCTGTGCTCCACCATTTATTGGCAGCGTGAACTTGAACAAGTCTGTTCACTTCTTTGAGTTCCAGTTTTCTCTTGTGTTAAATGAAAGATTGGACTCTGATCTCTGGGGTCCCCTCCAGCTCTGATAGTCTCTGGTTTTTAGTGATGTAGAAGAGTGTGGCATCAATAGAAAGCAGAGTTACATAGGGTAGGTGAGGCCCGTGCCAAGGGGTTACTGTTATTTTTTTTTCCGATTTTATTGTGATGAGAATATGCTTAACAAAACACACCATCCCAACGATTTCTGCATGTACAATTCAGTGACGCTGATTACATTCTTCAAGTAGTGCGACCATTCCCACTATTTTCCAAATCATTCCACCACCATTAACATAACCTCAGTGCGACAGGGGCGTTACTTTTATGTGACTTTGCCACAGTGGCAAGAGGAAAAATAAAGATCATAAATGGTTGAAGCTGCTGGTCTTTAGAAAGAATGTTGGAAGTATGATTGAAGTTTCCCATCCCTCATGGCCCGAGGAAGTTTCTCTAACAAGGGAGAGGATCCAAAAGGTGGTGCACTTTCAGTTTCTGAAATTACATCCTAGCTCTGGGTGCTTGAGCTGGGTGATCTCTCACTGCAGGGGGCTCCGTTGTTTTGGGAAAGCATTAGTAGTCATCAGTGGCACGGGGGGGCAGAGGACCTGTCATGGGGCTTGCTTTGGAGGCGAACGGAGGAGGCTGTGTAGAGGAGGCTGTGTAGAGGAATAATGAGCTGCTGTTAACTGGAACAGCCTCCAAGAATTTGAGTATAGTTGGGAAGACTCCCTCAGGTCGTAACTGCTGCAATACAGTTCTGGCTGTGAGGAGGCCTTTCTAAAACAAGCGTTTGCTTTTGCCAGGGGCCATTGATCATTGAATTGAGTCATTTTCATGGTGGTTGGTTGAAGTGCTTTGCATAATGTAGACCTGGCAGGAGGTTCCTGCTAGTTCCTTCTGTGCTAACCAGAAACCCTCACCTTCTTCCTCCTTTGTCATCTACTGGGGAGAAGCAGAGAAAGACACTGCCCTTCTTACAGTTCTTCCCTGTACCAGCCTCTGGTATTCATGTTCTCTTTGCCTCAGGACATGTAGGGACAGAGAAGGAAGGAGCATAAGCATACCATGTAGCTTCTCTGTGTAGCTACACTGGCTTGGTGCCAGTTCAGGGCAGGGAGTGGAGGGACGGGGAGGACATTCTCACATTCTCACTTTTTCTCTTAGCCTGTCTACAAACTGACCCAGAGGCAGGTAAACATAACGGTACAGAAGAAGGTGAGTCAGTGGTGGGAGCGACCTACTAAGCAGGAAAAGCGCCCACTGTTTTTGGCCCCTGACTTTGATCGCTGGCTGGACGAGTCTGATGCAGAAATGGAGCTCAGAACCAAGGTCAGTAAGAACCCTAGGATTCTGCCATTGAAGACAGAAATCATGAGGAGCCCAAGTGATATGGGTCACCTCAGATATCTCTTAGGGCCTGATAGAATAGGGGTCAAGTTACAGATTCATTTAGAGACCTGGAGACATGATTTTAGAGAAGTGCTGGTCAGGTATTTTGTAGACTGTCCCTCAATTGGGATTTGTCTGATGTTTTTCTTATGATTAGACTGGGGTGGTGATGGATTTTTAGGAAGAAGACCACAGAGGTAAAGTTCATGCTTATCACGTTTTATCAAGGGTACATGCTGTCAACATGACTTATCACTGTTAATATTAATCTTGATCATCTGGCTGAGGTGGTATTTGTTAGATCTCTCTACTGTAAAGTTACTCTTTCTCCCCCGTCTCATTTCCTTACTCTACTTTTTAGAAGGAAGTCGCTTAAGCCCACACTTAAAGAGTGGGGAGTTACGCTCCTCGTCCTTTAGGGTAGAATAGTTACATAATTTATTTGGAGTTCTTCTGCAATGAGAGGTTTGTCTCTTTTATCCCACTTATTTATTTATATCAGTATGGAATCATGGATACTTATTTTATACTTTGGGTTATAATCCAATACTGCGTTATTTATTTTGTTGCTCAAATTGTTCCAGCTTTGACCATTGAGAGCTCTTTCAGTTGGCTCCTGCGTCCCTTTGATATACTCCTACTTCCATTATTATGGTCTCCTCCCCACCCCTGGAACTTCCTTACTTTCTGGTACTTTCTTGTATATTTCTTGCCTCAGCCCTAGAATTAGCCATTTCTCCAAGGAACCTTGTTCTTTTTATTGGACAGTGGTATTGGAAACCAAAATCTGGGCACTAAGTGTGCCCCATTGCCACTGGAGTGTCCTTGCTTCTAGGCCGTCTCAGCTGTCAGAGCAAGAAAATAAATGTGTGTATACTAACTCATGTATATACATATATTTATAAATTTTTCTATAGTCATCTGTATCTATATTAAGATAGATATGAGTTCATACTAATGTTGGAGACATAATTTTAGCTTCTGGAAAAGTTAATATTAAAAATCTAAGAGACTTGAAAAATAAAATACAAATCTATTTATTTCCTGCCTAAGCTTCTGTTTTTGTTTCTACAACTGCAACAAATCTTCTGGACGTCCTTTCCAGCTTTAAGATTCCAAGACTGCCTAGTTGGCAGTTTGGAAGCCACCTGATTGGTTTAAC